CAGGGCTCAATCCCACAACCCCGAGATTACTACCTGAGTTGAAACCAAGAGTGGGACACTTAACCCACTAAGCCACCCAGGTGCTCGAAAATATTTTATTTTTAAGTAATCTCTACACCTAACATGGGGCTCGAATGCACAACCCCAAGGTCAAGAGTCACCTGCTCCACCTACTGAGCCAGCCAGGTGCCCCAAGCCCATCCCTCTTTGGGGTCATCCAGGTGCACAGACTTCAACAGGGATGAATCAATGTACATGTTCCCACTGGGTCAGGTGATGTACATGCCCTCCCTGGAGCCGTCCAGAGGGATGGCAGAGGGTCTCACAGGCCAACCCAACTTCAGCCCATACTCTGAGGCTTGGGAGAATCCCCAGGCCCTCCCAGGAAAGAGTTAAAACAGAACAAGTTGCTCTCTGGCTCCAATAATTCCACTTCCTGGTAGATTTCCCTGGTGTACTTCCTAACTGAATCCCAGCGAGGGAGAAAGCTGGGGGCTGGGAGCGGAGTCGGGCGGTTTGCTTTTGCTGACAATGTCATTAAAATCACCTTTCAATGGAGAATGAAGTATTGGCCCCCTTGTCCCTCCTATGTACTAGGCAAATCGTGGGGTGTGCCAGTCCTTACAACGATCCCACAAATGTAGGAGTATATGCACATTTCACAGGTGAGGAAACTGGCCCACTTGTCCAGGGTCTGTCTCATTATTAACAAGTGTCTCAGTTTGCAGCCTCCAAACTATAAGCACATGGAACTGCAGAGCAGAGAAACCAGACGTGCTAGAAGCTGAATACTCTTAGGACCCTGAGCCACTCCATCCTAAAAAGGAGATATTGGGGACTGAAGCCCCCAAGGAATCAGCCTGCAGTGTAGCCCTACCTGGCCAGGCCACCTTTCCAATGATAACATCTGAGGCCCCTGGGATGGAAGAGGGAGCACTCCTAGCTGTCGCCTCCGGCCCGGAGCTCAGATGCCCCAGCAGGGCTGCCCCCACAGACCCCTGTGTGCCCCACTGGTGAATCCACTGGGTGGACTGTGTATCTGTGAGAGGTGCTTAGCCTGCCCCCTCCCCATCAGCCCCCAGGGAGCAGGCAGGAGAAGCAGGGGGCTCCAGAGGGCTCCTCACACCTTTCAGCAAGGCACCCCCCCCACCCTGCCATGTCACACAACATCTGCAGTGTCTGCAGGCACACGGGCAGGGAGTTATTACCAAAGGAGAAGACTCATGCAGCTAATCAGCTTTGGAGGTTTCTAGGGACATCAGCTTGTGAAGTGAGAAAAGGAGATCCAGCCACCCGGTTGCCTGGTATCCAAGCATTCCCCCATGGGGTCACAAAGCTTGCAGGGGAGAGAGAGGCCTTATCAGACTGCCGGTGCTTAGAGGCAACCCCCCAGCTGTCCTCAGGACCCCAAAGGATTAACCAGGCTGACCTCACCCCCTGGCCCTTCCCCCAGCCAGAGCCCACAGCTCAATTTCTTCTACTGTAGGAGTTTAAGGAAACCAAACATCTTGAAGGTATTACCATTTATAGAAAAGCACATTTACAATTAGCTATATATAAACACCTGGGATTTATCTCCCAGAATTCTAGGCTGGCGATGCAGGGGCCAGTGTTGACACAAGCCGGGGAGAGTGTGAGGGTCCTCTCCCCGAGAAATCTCCTTTCTCTCCTCGGCAAATCTTCCCGGGGGCCCCACCCTGCGTCCACGTCCAGGCTTCTCTTCCTCACACCCCGAGGGCTGGGGTTGAGGGGTCGCTGAGCCAGAAGTGATTCGGTCTCCAGGTCCAGGGCTGCCTCCCAGAGAGCTCCATATGCGGGCCTGAATCAGCCTTCTTTAGAACAAAGGGGCATCTTAAACTCAGTGAGAGGGCTCCTGCCTCAGAACGATTCAGCACTCACCAGCCATTCCAAGCCACTGTGCAAATGCCCTCAGAGCCAGGAAGAAACCCGCCGGCCATCAGCCGGAGAAGCAGCGGCATGCCATAGGGGTTAAGCGTGAGGGGAAGGGTTCCCGCTGCCTAGACTGCAGTCCAGTTCCTCTGCCTACTGCAGTGTCATGGGATCCCTCTAAGTCTTAGTTTTCTCATCTGTCAAAGGGGGGGCAAAGACTGCCTATCTGCCTGGACCATTGTGATGACTAAACGAGATCATTCATGTGGAACACTTAGGCAGGGGACCCAGCACACAGCAAGGGCTTGGTAAGTGTTAGCTCGAATTATACGGGATGCCTGGGTGGCTCAGTCGGTTAGGCGGCTGCCTTTGGCTCGGGTCATGATCTCAGGGTCCTGGGATGGAGCCCCATGTCGGGCTCCCTGCTCAGCGGGGAGCCTGCTTCTCCCTCTGCCTCTGCCCAACGCCATCCCCGCTTGTGCTCTCTCTCTCAAATAAATAAATAAAATCTTTTAAAAAACAGAATTATTACCAACACCTTTAAGGTGTGGCCCCTTTAAGCAGCATCTTTAAGGGATGGACACTCCCCCAGAAGTATGAAGTTGTGGGGTAGAAAACACTTACCACTTGCTACAACTTTTGCCTTCTCTCAAGAGCAGAGGTTCTCAAGCACAACATACACCCTGCCACCGCCCCCCCCAGCCTGCCACCTTCAAAATCCATAGATAATTCTGGTTTACACACCCATGAGTGTGCACAAACTAAAGAACAACAGAATTTTTGCGGGCCAGCGCAGTGGAACACTGCCATCATTTCATCACAACTCGTGGTCCATCAGTGTAAGCAAAGAACAATTAATTCTAGAACTGAAACACCCCGCCTGGCTCTTTCGTTCCTGTACAAAACACATCAGATATCAAGTCACCACAATGTAACTGTAATTGTAAATACTTATAATTTTATTGTCAATTATACCCCAATAAAGCTGAAATTTTTTTTTAAAGAGGCACATTAGCATGAAGGTGAGTGGGAGTAATGTCATCATGGTGATAACCTTGAAATTCATCTACCATATTTTTTTGTAAAATGTATTGTTGACAAGCTTCAGAATATCATTATCCTACCCAAAAAGATTTGAAAGTCAGCACATAATTTAAAATTGCATGTAGCTAAATTACCCTTCAAAATTCTCTTAAATCACCTATAAAGTATGACAGTTGTTTCTTGAGACACAAGAATCCTACTCAATGGACCGGGATGCTCACAGTATGCAGCCATGTGGAAGCTAAGACACGCTGACCCAAGAGTTGGATAAAGCTGGCCCTCTTTCTCTCCCTCTCCCCCGCAGCAGTATTTGGCTATATTCTTGTCGAATCACATTCCAATCAGTTAAATGAGTACAGGATATAATTCCACCACCACAAATAACTATTATGTACCTCTCAACTGACCCATGCTGAGAAATTAGTCCTCCAGAAGGCTGCAGAAGAGGGAACTGCTTCCCCTGCCCCCAACCCCTGGGCTGACCCTGGATCCCCCGTCTGGGAAAAAAACGGTAAGGTGTGTCCACTTACTTGCAGCCTGGATTCGAGCCTTCCGGCTGACCACCAGCCCAAAGCGGTTCTGAGCCACACACTCATAGTCACCCTCATCCGAGGGGCTGCCTCCCCGATCCAGCTGGAAGTGATGGATCATCAGGGACCCATTGGCCAGCAAGGTGGAGTGGGTACTCTCCAGCAACTCTACCCCATTTTTTCTCCAGGTGATTCTCACTGGAGGGGTCCCCTCCACCCTGCAGCCCAGCATTATAGGCTGCCCAGGGACTGCGACATCATCACTTGGCTCCATAGCAAATGCCAGTTCGGCAGAGTGGCCAAGACCTGTATAGGACAGGGGAGATGGAAGGAAAAGGAGAGGTTAGTGTGGGTTGAACAGGCAGGAAGAACTTCATACACAGGTGTCCCAAGTTCCCTGGCTATGTGCACCCACCCCATCTTTCAGTAATGTTAATAGAAATCTCTATTATATATAGAACTTTTTTTAAAAGATTTTTTTATTTATTCATTCGAGACACAGAGATACAGAGAGAGAGAGAGAGAGAATGAGAGAGCATGAGCAGGGGGAGAGGCAGAGGGCGAGGGAGAAGGAGGCTTCCCACTGAGCCAGGAGCCCGATGCGGGGCTCGATCCCAGGATCCCAGAATCATGACCTGAGCGGAAGGCAGACGTTCAACCATCTGAGCCACCCAGGCGCCCCATATTATATATAGAACTTTATGCATTACAAAGTGCTGTCTTATGCAGTATCTTTCTCAATCAGCAGACCACCTCAGAAAGAGGTATTATTTGTACCATTTCCTCTTTTTACAGATAAGGGAACTGAAGCCCAGAGATAATGAAGCAACTTGTCCAGGGTGTCACTATTAATAGTAACAAATCTGAGATCCAAAAGTAACACGGTTAGTTAACACAGTTAGACCACGGCTGCTGCCACTTCTGTGGTCACTCTGGCTCAACACTGCAGCCTCACAGAGTTTCAGGGTGGGACCTTAGGCAAAGGGGTTCAACCTGTCCTAGCTTCCCATTCCTCATCTGTTTAAATCAGGAACGTCTTGTAACTTGGGTCATAGAGTTGTTGAACAAGATGAACAAACTCAAAGTCACTATGAAAACAAACAAAGATAAAGTGAGATAGTAAGAAATAATTGCTTATTTTTGCTGGCAAAACCATCTGAAACCTGGCCTGATGCCTGGCAGGGAGCAGGATGTGTGGGTCCAGTAGCAGGTACAGGCTAGGCTATGGACCAGCCCCACCGCCTCTCCCCAGGTTGCTCTGGGTTTTGGTTTGTGCTGGTTGTTTTGCCTTTGTCATAAGGAGAATTGAGGGGTACCAAGGGTCATCTCAGATTTCCCAAAATTCAGGAAGAGGGAGGTTTCTAGAATCCTTACTCCCTGCGTCCTCACTGCTCCTGTAGAACAAAACTGAGCTGGAAGAAGAGAAGGAGAACGAAGAGAGAGGGAAGAAGGTGATCCGGGAATCAGGGGAAGCCCGACAGGAAGGACAAGCGCTCCAATCCCAGGCGTGATGCCAAGTCCCCAACTTCTCCAACGAGCAACTTACCAGACCAGTTACAACTTCACTCCGGGAGGAATGAACCCCCCTGGTCTGAAAGGGCAGCCACAGACCCCTCTTCACATTTCCAGGGAACTAGTGATCCTGGAGCTGGCCCCTCCCCAACAGACCAGCGCCCTCTCTGGTTGGGGGAGATGGAAAGTGGGTGGGGAGAAAGGAGGAGGCGGATTGGGGTTACGGACGATTCCCCCAGCCACAAGGGTATGTAATATTTTAAGACATTTGCGGGTCACAAGCTTTCAAACCCTTACCCACCCCACCCACCCCATGCCCTGCGTTTCAGCGGCTTCAGCCCCCAACCCAAACCCAACATAGCCGTCGAGGGATAAAGTTTCTCCGAGATGCGGACGCGGTATTCTGCTTCTCCGGAGCTGAGAGAAGAGAGAATACCGCCGAGATGTGTCTGCTGAGAATCTGGGATGGAAGGGGAAGGCCCTAGATTTGCGGTCCTCTCCCGTGAGATGGGCCTATTACAGCCCCCGAGGGAACAGGGTGGTGGTGACGGAGCTCTGGGCAGCAACGCGGGCAGGCCCCCGAGCCTGGGGCCAGGGGCGCTCTGCCAGCGCACCCACCGGAGAAGGGCGGGCACGTGAGCGTCCCCGCCGCTCGCTCCCTCCGGGTCGGCTTCTCCTCCCCTTCCCCAGCTCGCGCGGTCTCTCTCGGGTCTCCCCCTCCGGAGGCTACGCGCGGCCCGCCGGGACTCTGCCTCCTCCTCTTCCTCGGTGTCCGCCGCGCACTCCGAGCGCCAGTCTCAGCTCTAGACCCGGGACGTGCCCTCTCGGACCCGCCTCCGCCCCCCGGTCGGCCGCGCTCGGTCTCGGCCGCCTCGGGCTACTCTGGCCCACCGCCGGGCTCCGCGCACCCCGGCCCGCCCCCTCGGACGGAACTCAGCCCTGAGGTGCCCCCTGGCTCGTTTCCCCCTCTCCCCAACTCCCACCCGCCCGCCTCGCTCCTGCTTTGCCGCGCTCCGTGCTCCTCGGGCCGGGCTTGCGTCCTGCCCGAGCCCTGGAGCCTCGGCGCACTGAATCGAATTCTCTCCTCGGGGGCCGCGTCCTCAACATCTCCCTGCGGGCCCGGCCGCCGGCCTCGGGGCCCTCTCCCCGGGCTCCGCCCCGTCCCGCTCGGCTCCCCTTCTCGGACAAGTCCCTCCCGCCCCGGGTCCGCCCGCAGGTCCGCCCCCTCGCGCCCACCTCCTCCCGTCTCGCCCTTCCTGGGGCTCGGTCCGCGGCCGCCCGGGGCGCTCACCGTCGCTCGGCGCGG